CCTCCGCCTCCTGCTCGTCCTCCTCCTCCTCCTGCTCGTCCTTCTTCTCCTGCTCCTCCTGCTCCTCGTCCTGCTCCTGCTCGTCCTCGTCCTCCTGGTCTTGCTCGTCCTCCTCCTCGTCGTGCTCTTGCCCCTGCTGAAAATGTGGCCCAGGAATCGGAGTTCTGGGAAGTCGAAAAGCACGAAGTGGCATACAGTTGGCTCCGGGCATTCAAAATGTGGCCCGGGAATGGAGTTCTGGGAACTCGAAGAGCACGAAGTGGCCTACAGTTGGCTCCGGGCATCCAAAATGTGGCCCGGGAATGGAGTTCTGGGAACTCGAAGAGCACGAAGTGGCCTACAGTTGGCTCCGGGCATTCAAAATGTGGCCCGGGAATGGAGTTCTGGGGACTCGAAGACCACGAAGTGGCCTACAGTTGGCTCCGGGCATTCAAAATGTGGCCCGGGAATGGAGTTCTGGGAAGTCGAAGAGCACGAAGTGGCCTACAGTTGGCTCCGGGCATTCAGAAATGTGGCCCGGGAATGGAGTTCTGGGAAGTCGAAGAGCACGAAGTGTGTGACTGTTGCATCCGGCCCTCCAGAATGTGGCCCGGGAATGGAGTTCTGGGAACTCGAAGAGCACGAAGTGTGTGACTGTTGCATCCGGTTATTCTAAAGTGGCCCGGGAATGGCGTTCTGGGATCTCGAAGAGCACGAAGTGTGTGACTGTTGCATCCGGTTATTCAGAATGAGCCTGGGAATGGAGTTCTGGGAACTCGAAGAGCACGAAGTGTGTGACTGTTGGTGAAAAACGAGGTGGGCACAACCCGCCCGGCAACTCCCAACACCTGCCCGGACCCCCCTGTGGAGTGATCTGTGAGCTCTTTTGACCCTACTAGAAACCTATCAGTCTTCGCTGTTAGGTAAAAATGCGTGGTGCAACTGCAAGCCGTGCGCTGCAAGATGTGTGGAGTAAGCTGCGTAGGTGGGACAATTTGTCATTCGCGGGTCGAGAGCGCACCTCTTCCGGTCGAACCTAAGCGGGCCGCGCGAAGCTTGAATTGACAAAGAGGGGGGGGGGCAGTAGGAGAGGCCTCACGTCAAGGCCAGGAGGAGGCAAAGCCTCGGGATCAGGCGGTGCCGAAGACGATGTGCTTGCAAAGGAACGCCTTGGACAGGAACCCGGTGGCACAAGCAGCCCACGAAGCACCCGTGGGCGGCCGCCCCGCGCGCCGCCCGCGCGACGCCGAGGGGCGGCAGCCGGACGGGCACCAGGCGAGAGCTCGGCACGCCCACCCAGCCCACGGGGCGCCCGCGCGGCCGACGCGCAGCCCGCCGGGCACCGGGCGAAGCCTCCGCACGCCCGTCCGACGCACGGGGCGGCCACGGGGCGCCAGCAGGCGGCGGCCGACCGCGCACGAGGCGAAACCTCGGCACGCCCACCCCAAAGTGCACGGGGAGCCCACGAGGGGTCACGGGCGGCAACCGACCGGGCACCAGGCGCAACCCGGCCGGCCCCTCGGACTCTCGCGGAAAGCTTTCGTACCTTTACCATCGCGTCCACTGCGACTGTGGCTGCCGAGCGGACACCATATGTTGTCCCTGTGGAAGCCAGCCGAGCATCCTCGCACAGGGCCCATGGCGCGCGAAGAATCGGACCCCAGCGAAGAGAACTCAGATCAGGGAAGTCAGTACGCAAAAGCAGGAGCAGAACTCAGTGAAGACAGGAATTGGCGAGCACAATTTGATTGCCGAGGCAAAGACCTGGCCGCTCCAGGCTGGACCGTTTCGATAATCATGCAGAGGAGAAGGTGGAGGTGGCGCAGGAAGAAATCGGAGAGGGGATCTGAGACCCAGCCCGCGGGGCGCTTGATTGGCAGCTCTATGACCTCCTTGATCTCCTTAATCTGCTTGTCAACCCCGCCGACCTGCGCCCAGGGGAGGGGTGGCATCATGCTCCTGCTCATCATCATCATCATCATCATCATCATCATCATCATCATCATCATCATCATCATCATCATCATCATCATCATCATCATCATCAGCATCATCATCATCATCATCATCATCATCATCATCATCATCATCATCATCATCAGCAGCAGCAGCAGCAGCATCATCATCATCAATCATCATCATCATCATCATCATCATCATCATCATCATCATCATCATCATCATCATCAGCATCATCATCATCATCACATCATCATCATCATCATCATCATCATCATCATCATCATCATCATCATCATCATCATCATCATCATCATCATCATCATTCATCATCATCATCATCATCATCATCAGATCATCATCATCATCATCATCATCATCATCATCATCATCATCATCATCATCATCATGCATCATCATCATCATCATCATCATCATCATCATCATCATCATCATCATCATCATCATCAGCAGCAGCAGCAGCAGCAGCAGCAGCAGCATCATCATCATCAGCAGCATCAGCATCAGCAGCAGCATCAGCATCATCAGCTTCAGCATCATCATCAGCATCAGCATCATCGCCATCATCAGAACAGCATCATCGAATCCCACCAGCCCTTTGGGCGTGAGTGGTTTAGCGAGCTCTCTCTGTTCTCAACCCCCCAACCCCCCTTCTTCCCCTTCGGGGAGGGGTTTACCCCTCCCTCTACCCCCTCCCCCTGGACCTGGAGAGGGCGCCTCGCGGGTCGTCAGGAGGGTCATTTCCGACTCCTGGGAGGGC